CACTTCTCTATTCATCTCTCTTCTATTCTTTTCTTTGCTCTTCCCATTAACAATGCAATCCTTTTGTCTCTCCTCTCTCCTTCTCTCTCCCTTCTCTTCTCCTGTTCCCCTTTAAATGACAAAAGCGCAAGAAAGGAAGAACAAGAGGGGAATGGAGGCCATGTTCCTTTCTTTTCCAATGGATGGGGAAAGCGAGCGGGGTTGGCTCCTTGTCCGTAGACCCTCCCCATGCTGCAGCAAATCCCTCCTCTCGCCCTATCGCCTCTGTTCTTTTCCTTGTTCCCAAACGGAAAAAGAAAACGGGTTCCTTTACATGTTCATTGTTCTTCCTTTTGTTTTTATTTGAAAGGGAAAGATAAGAAAGAGAGGAAAGAAGAAAACGAGCACCATCTTCTCTTTGCCTGATTTTGCACCTCCCTCTCCTGTCTTCATTTCTCTTCCATGATTTTCATTGCTCTTCCCATGAAAATTGCTTCCTTTTGATCTCTCCTCTCTCCTTTCTCTCTCCCTTCTCTTCTCTTGTTCTCTTTTAAATCTCAAAATCACACCAAAGGAAGCTTCTTTTCCTTATTGAATGAAAAAGAAAAAGAAGAAAAGAGATAGGTAAAGACACTGAAGAGCTCCACTGCCTATTGTTTCATTCCCTTTCCTCTCTTTCTATGTGTTGTTTCCCTTGTTGTTTCAGAAAGCTAGCAAAATAAGGGCAAGGGGGCTTCCTGAAGAGGAGAGAGGGCACCTATTTTTTTAATTATAGAGGGGAAAGCGAGAGACAAGGAAGGGAGAGATGATAGATAAAGAAGAGTGCTATCCGTCTCCTTGTTTCTTGTGTCTTCTCTTCTTTTCAGTACCCCTGCAGAAAATTCAAATGGCCTCCTTGTTGTCTCTCCTCTCTCACTTCCCTTGCCCTTCTCTCCTTCTGTTACCTTTTAACTAATAAAACACAAGAAAGGAACTTGTATGATAAAGCAGTGGAAGGGTAAGCAGAGGGTGACTCCTTGCGCGTGGACCTTGCCCATACTTCATCATATCCCTCTTTTCGGCCTGTCTCTTCTGCTCTTTTCATTACCCTTCTCCTTTTCAAGTTCTTCCTTTTTAGTTTTTCTGTTTCGAAAAGAAAGAGGGAAGGGAGAGAGAAGGGAGAGAGGATAGATAAAGAAGAGTGCCATCTTCTTTGCGCCTTGTTTTGTCTCTCCATCTTCTTTGTTCATCTCTCTTCTATTCTTTTCTTGGCTCTTCCCATTAAAATTGTGTTCCTTTTATCTCTCCTCTCTCCTTCTCTTTCCCTTCTCTTCTCCTGTTCCCCTTTAAATGACAAAAACACAAGAAAGGAAGAACAAGAGGGGAATGGAGGCCCTTTTCCTGTATTCTCCTGTTGCAATGAATAAAGAAAAAAGGATAGGAGATAAGGAAGGGAATTGAGGAGCTCCTTTCGCTACTTTCTTATGCCCTTTCCTTTGTATCTACCACACAAAAACACGACTCTCAGCTTCCAAATAAACCCTATTTAAGCCACCCACGGGGGGGGGGGGGCCCCCCACCAATTAAACAGGAGCTCGGATTAAGAACGAATGAAACATCTTGACTGCCTGAACGAGCCAAGCATGTTTGCAACAGTGACCTTGGGTAAAGCAGAATTCAACCAGCTGGCGTGTGCGGTCATGAGTGACTCGAGTGACGTGGTACATGGGAGTCCAACTCAGACTTCATGCCTTGCCTGCACTTTTGCGCGCTTCGCCGCTTCTTCTTTGGCCTCAGCCTCCGCTGCCTGTGCTTCTGCCACGGCCACAGCCTTCTGCAGCTTGCGCAGCTTGCGCCTCAATGATTGAGCCCCTGAAGAAGGCAGAACATCAGTCAGCCGAAGCCTAAGCTCGTGGCTCCTCTGGGGCTGCTTCCTGCAAGAAATCAAGCAAGAACCAGAATTACACACGAGGTCATCCAAATGCCTGCAAGGCAAGGCAAAGCACAGCAAAGCAAAGCAAAGCATCCCTCCTCGGGCACGCCTTGCGGCTTCTCACCGGTCATGATTCCACCTCTCCAACTGTTGAAGAAGCAGGAAGTTCATAGCGGCCGACAACCAGAATCTGCCAGAGTCTACTGACCATCTTGTCGCCCTACCTTCCCACGTTCATTGATTCAATAAAGACCCCCCCCTCCATTACTAAATTGAAAATCCCGAAAACCACCCGGTGGCCAGAAGGCCGGGCCAATTTGAATTGAAAAGGTGTCGGGCTGACCAATGGTTTCCGGTTTGGTGATTAGTTGACTTTGCTGTGTGTGTGTGTGTACGTGTGTAGGCGTGTATGTATGTATGTATGTGTATGTGCGTATGTGTATGTGCATGTGTATGTCTGACGAACAGGAGATTCGCGCGTCAACGCAGAAGCGCATACCACAAATGTGCAGCGACATCATTGTGACCTTGTTTCCGGGGCGAGCCTTCCTTAGTATCTAAGCATGCGCCTAGCTAATTAGGTCTGGGTGACTGGGTGCCATGTGGCATCAATGCAGGTTACGAAACATTACCCATTCAGGTCTCGTAGCCAACATGCTTGAGCCGTAGCCGCTTCCCGGAGAAACCCGAAACCCTAAAACCAATACTGCCACGCCTCAAAGACAGACCCCCCCCCCCTTTCTCATGAAATCAAAACCGGAGCCGGGGGGGGGGGGATATTCCGAATGGGGGGAGAAGGGAGAGGGGAGGGGGGTGAGGAAGCGATTAGCTGCATAGCAATACGAGAATCCTAAATGCACGGTCACAGGCATACAATAGCTACGAAGCCAATGCAGCTGCCACGCACAGTTTGCATGAAAGCATTGAAGCCTTGAGTGCCGTCTTGCCCACTTGCACCTGGACGAAAGAGCACCACTACCACCACGCGGACATTTTCATCACAAGGATCCAAACTCAAATAGTTCCTATTAGCTCAAGCCGCCTGCACAAACCAACAGAGCACGGCATGCTGAACAGAACATGCTCATGAATGTTCATGACGTCTCCTGCCAGCAGGGCCAGGCTTAAGAACGCCACGAGCCGACATCTGGCACCCATTCCCAAAGTGAGCGCGACGTCTCTTAGCACGACAGTCTTTCATGAAGCTGTGGGCCCAGGGCATGCTTTGACTAGTTTCAATATGCGGGCTGAAACGACAGAGGTCGTCTGGACACTGTCCTGCATCGATGCACTTGGATGGGACTCTGCTGCTTGAGGCTGGACTGCTCATGGCATCCACTTCTCATGCTTCGTTGATACCGGATGCAGCATCTCATTCGGGAAACCATGCAGTGCACCGCAGGATGTACGCAAGCTCAGGCGACAGCCAATCTCATCACAGAACCACCATCCGGACCTGAGCTGCAGGCCCAAACACATTCGCAAGATTTGGGGGAGCAGCTGGTATTGAAGTGGAACTGGTCGCCCTGCAAACACCTACGACACTTTTGCTGACGCGCCGACGGACTGCAGCCTCGCTCCCTCCAGTAGAAAAGGTACACAGACGCCTGGTTGTGGCAGCGCTGTCTTTGAAAAGATGCCGTACTCAGGCAGGCAGAGTAGGCAGGCAGAGTAAGCAGGCAGGCAGCTGACCTGAGATCTGGCTCCTGCTTTGCGGAAGATCTGCTGGCCTGCAACAACGATGCAGTGCCACCATGTGCCAACAGTCACGGAAGGCCCATTTCTGAGATCGCTACCATGGTTTCGGCCTCATTCTGGCCGCATCCAGTACATGTGACTTTGACGGATCGCATCATTAAGCATGAAACTGACTAGGGAGGCATGCTGAGTCCAAGAATCTGCCCTGAGTGCTTCAGTCAATAAATAGGTCGGTGGCTGCTGTCGATGTCTTTGCCCTGAGGGCTTTTGCTGCTGTTGCAGTGGCGGCGGCTGTTGCCGTCGTTCGCGGCGTGATGTCGGAAGTGACGGTCATTGATTCGCTTCTATTCTATGCAGAGACAGACGCAGCCAAAGCCAGCTTCCAGGGTGCCAACGCTTTTGTGGCAAGTAAAGGCCGGTCAACAGCTCGACCTTCCAGCCACACATCGTGCCATTCAAGCATCATTCGGCCCTTCAAGGAATCGCATGGTCACTCTGAGCTTCGGGCGCCCTCAATCTCTGGGTCGTTTGGGGCCCAGTCGCTTCGGTTAAAGCTCACTCTGGCCTCGCCACAATTACACGAAGCGAAAATTGGTCCTACAGGTTCATACGGTTCTGAAAAGGCCGTACAGAGAAAGCCCTGAACTTGCTGCCCTCTCCACCACTGCATCCAGCATTTCAATAGGCCGGGTCGACTTAGGACAACCGCGATGCGACCGCTCTGAAGCTAGCCTTGCCTACCTGCTTGATAATGTGTGGTGCAAAGTTCGCGACAACTTCTTGCACCCGTGTGCTGGACAACCCTGCCCGTCTTTCCAAAAACTGACATCGCAAAACCGACAAAACCAGTACCCTCACAAACCCATAGGCGAAACAGTCGCTTGTCTGCTGTATCACTGGGCCCAGGGCCACTTTGAAGGCCGGCCAGGCTCCCTCTTCCATGTAGCTCATATGTGGCTGAGCTCAACAAAGAGACGAGCAGATACGACTAAGCTAGGGTGACGATAACGGTCGATCCATGTCGATCCCAATCTCTTCCTTGATGCATATCCAGGAAAATGAGGAAACAGCCTCGGGGGGTTAAAGTTCTGGAGCTGGGCTATGCTGGGTTATGCTGGGGAATTCTGTGCGGCAATTCTTGGCTCATGACTGTGACCACGTGAGGCCTTTCCGAGGGCTTTGTTGCTTGTTTTTTGAAGACACACATGTCACGTTTTGGGAAATTGTGTCAATTCGAAATACGTTCTTACAGCCAAGCTGCAGATCACTGGGACAGTTTGGCATTGGAGGTCAAGCCTGGTGCGGAACATCACCTTTGTGCGAGTTCGACTGGCGCATTTTGGCCGCCTGCAAGTTTAGCAAGCTTTGGCTGTGAGACAGAAAGGAGCTTTCATGTGTTCGGCCATTGAAGTTACGCTGCAATGGTAGTTGGTGCCTGGTCGACCTGCCAAAAGAGCAGACGTGAACATCAAGAACTGCCATGCATCAAGGCGAAAGCACCACCCACCTCAATGCTTTGGCAACACCAAGGTGCAAGCCAGCGCTCCAACGTGGTGACCTGGGCTCAGATACTTGCAGGCTTGTTTAGATGAGCACCCGCCGTGCGCTGGAGCTGAAAAAGAAGACGTTGTTTCCAGCTCTAAAGCCGTTTGATCATATGCAGCGAAAATGACCCCAAGGGCGGCCCTCGCTGCATTTCAAAGGTTCCGGCGCCAGGTCCCTCCTGGCACTCTTCCTCAGCGATGACCGTCCTTTCAATCATGCTCGAAAAGTACGCCTTTTGCGAGAAAAGGGACTGCCCAGCTGCACGCAGCTGCTCTTGATGCACAATGCTTCGTGCTTCAGCCCCCCATGGTCCTCTTGAAGAGCGTCAGCAAGGTCAGCGCTGAGGATGCCGATCTGGACATATGGTCATTGCGAAGCAACGGATGTCGAATGTGCACCAACAGGTTTTCAAAGCAAGAAGCCGCCTTAGCTGAGCTGAAGTCTCACCCTTTCTCATGCTCGAGTCCGGACCGCTGTGTGGCAGCCTGAGTGGTTCAGGCTGATCAGGGTTCCCCCATGTTCCCCCTACATCCCAAAGTTGCTTCTCCACTCGGCTTTGCACAAATCCTTAAGTGGCTTGTCTTCGACTCCTGCGGGGAGGAAAGCATGCCGTTCGAAAGCGGTTCAGCCTAGTTTTCACAAGATCTCCTCGCAGGTCGATCTCCACGCTGGACCCGCTGGAGCCTACAGCGGTATCGTGAGTGATTGATCGTTCTTCACTGGTACTGCTAGACCACACTTGATTCATGTCGCAGTCTCGTGTGCTCAGCGCGGATCGCATGGTCACCGTCGGGTACGCCAAGGAAATCTGCCAACGGCCCGGCCTCAGCAATCAAGCTTCCCCAGATAAGCAGCCGCATACCACCACTACCCTATACCCCAACATTGGTCCAAATGTTACTACGAGTATCTCAATTTTTTGGTTTTTTCTATCTCAGTTTTTCTATCTCAAGCCCAAATACCAGAAACCCAAAACGGGCAAAGCTGGTTTTGGGCATTTTTGCAATGGCTAGCTCATGAGGCTTCTGCCGAAGCATCATACAAGTAGTATGGGGCACGGGGTCAGCATTCAACGAGTCATTGTGGCAGCGACCCTGATGCTCCAACCCATTCCCCCTGCTGCTTGAAACTGGTACCACTGATGCGGTGACTCTCATATGCCTATGTTGGGACTCACTTGCCCCATCCTGTTCAAGGCTAGAAGACTGCACCCACACGTTCGGAACCACTACCGCAAGCCACTTCTGTGTCCCAGACATTTCAAGGATCTGCTCGAACTGCTCTCCGGAATGCTTGAAGTACACATCTCGGCGGCACAGGCTCAACTCATGCAGCTGGTATCCTTTTGACCAGCGATGGCGCTGGCAGTGCAAGAGCACGGCGGCCAGCAAGCAGCACGGCCAGGAATTCAGCATTCACAACAGTAACAAGGCAACGCATCAACGATGACACTTTCCTGCCAAAACGTGCAGCTCAACAACGCGTCTTCACACCGCGTCTATCATTGCACCAGCGGCAGCGGCGGCGGCGGTGGCAGCACAAGCACCACCAACAGCACACTCTATCTTGAGCACAGCACCACCGAAGCAAGAACCTTTCTTGGCAAACAGCAACCGAGGCGCTGCTGCCAAAACCAAACCGCACTGCCACAACATGGGTGCTGCTCAACCTATCTCCAGGGTTTCGGGCAGTTCATCGTGCGCTACCTCTGGCTCAATTTCGGGCCTTCGCAGGAAGAATGCAAAAAACAATTCGTTGTACGAGTTGGGGTATTTGGCTCACGGGTGCCAAGTTCACGTCCTTGGAACTGGGGACAAAATGCCCAAGCAGCTGAGCCGGAGGGAAAAGCAAGGGACAAAACAACCCGTCATATCTGCACCAAGGGCGGGACTCGCACCAGCGGTCAGTCCACACTCAATTTCATGGCCGACCGACCATGGACGACTGCGCCTTCAGTGTTGGCACGCTTGAGCGATAACAGGTTTTGGTTGGTCGCTGTCGACACTTGGAACTGGGCTGATTTTGATCACCGTGGCCTGGACTTCATGTGGGGCGGCATCGGAACTTAATTTATCCTCAACAGCCGCCCATTAATTACTTCAAACATGTTGGCAGCTCCGTTGACGAAGGACCGGCCGTGATCGCCATGAAACCCGACCTCGTAAAGCGAACTAATTTGACAACTGCTGAATCACTGCACAATCAAACCACAACTTCATCCCAATCCATGCCATGACATGCTGAGCAACAAACCTCCCCGCGGGACCTGAAACTGCGCGGGGGGGGGGGGGGGGGGGGGGGGGGGGGGGGGGGGGGGGGGGGGGGGGGGGGGGGGCACAAACTGCGAAAGCGACAGGGCGAATAAAAAAAACATCAACTGTGAGGCCAAGACCATCCCACCATGTCGCGGGTGATGCTCTGTTTCTGCGCCTCACAAGAACACCCAAAAATTGCGCCCCCCAGCGGGAGCGAAGCGATAACAATTTACGGCGCCAAATCCCAAATGGCAGATCACAAATCGCAGTGTCGACCTCGCCCAGTGCACATAAGCCAATTCCAATCTCGCCAAGCCTTAGCCACAGAGTCGACGCAGTGCCACACCATCAAAAAACACCGACCACAAGCCATGCATGTTTGCCATGCGACACTTGAAAGATTCTTGAAAGCATGACGGAGTGCTAAAGCCAGGTTCGCATCTGTTCAAGTTGCTCACCAAGCCACGTTCCCAGATTCAAAACTCGGAGCTTGAAGCTTTCTCCGGGTGAGAGCGGCACCCTTGGCTGAAGGTCAACGCGAATTTTAATGGTAATTCATTGACGTTTCATAGTTTCACTAAGCCTGCGACGAACCTTGAACTGTGCAGATTCCCCGTGCCCTGCTCGGACAACTTGCGATGAATATGCCTGCTGATCCTTGGTGCTGTCGGAACCAGTACACAGAGCTCACCAGCATTCACGCTCTTGGGCCTGATGGCGCAAGGTCTGCACCAATCGACCTCGCGATGTTTCCCAAGATGATATCAAGTAACACTGCATGTCTCCACGGCCCGCTGCAAACGCGAGTCCCCCGCGTGAGCTCAACCGACTTGTCGTCGTTGTCCCCCGCATCGATAGTCTTACAGATTTGCAAGTCCTGCGGCTGCGAAACAAACACGGCAACCAACCACAGGCAACAATCTTGCCATTGGGAGCCGGGCTAGTACGGGAGTTTCCATGGCGGAACATGCGCACTTGGGTGAGAACCACCCAATTAGGACCTAGCTCGGCTGTTTACCGAACTCAATGTCAAGCAGTTTTGGAACGTGCTTGCCAAGGCTCCTTCTAAACCAATGTCTTTTGGTGGTTTGTTTTACAATTTTCCCGTGAGGTTTATGGCGCCTACTTCGGGCGCGAGCACAAAGCTGCAGGTATCTGCAGGTGCAAGTGCCTCCACGCAACGCCTCTCACACCTCCCAGCAGCCAAGGCTCTTTTTACCCATTTTTTCCGCTAAGCATCGAACCGCTCCGTTTCACATATCTCCACTGCCCTGCGTGCCGCGCTGCATGGGACCCCCACGCCACCCCGGCCTTCCTAGCCAAATGCTAGCGACAAGGGCCAAGGGCATCGCGCCGGCACCGTCCAGGCCAGTCCTCGGCCCCGCCTGCGTGCGCCAACCCCGCCCTGCCCCGCCCCGCGACTGGCCTGGCAGTGGGCGAAAACTCGTGTATGGTCCGAGGTCGCGATATGTCGCGATCAAGCGTTGCCGCCTTCGCAGCAAGGGCTCGTTGCTCTTGGTGTGCCAATCGGGGCGCCGGCCTTCGTTGCCCTGGCTCGCTAGACTGAGCTCCTCAGGATCCTGCTTTTGCTGGAGAAGACCGAGGTTGCGTGGTTGCCAAGTAGTCCGGTCTTTTTTTCGCACACCTTTTTGCGACAGTGACCGTGCGTTGCATGGCCGCGACTGCGAGGAGGCCGGACCAGCGCTGCCCCCGGCTGCACCCACCCTGCGCTCGCGGCGGCCCGGAGTGGGGGTGGGAGCCTCGCAGCGCGGTGGCGCGCAAGGTGGCGGAGGAAGGAGGCGGCTTCGGCACCAAAGCGCCCTCCTACTTCGACCCCGACGACGACGAGCCGTGCGCGCCGTGCGCTCGCAAGGTACGTTTGGCGCCGCTTTCGGCGAGCGACGGCCTGCACTGCTGCACCTGGGCGGGCGTCGGCGCCGGCTGCGGCACGCCAGCCCGTGTAACCGGGCTGACGATAGTGGCGTCGATTGCGAGCTGCGCCCCGTACCGGAGGGGCAAGCCGTCGCGATGCCATGTGCGTCGCTGACAGGAACATCGATGTTCATGTCGGCGACCCCCTTTCGCCACGAAGTGTTGAAGAACCAGTTCAGTTTGTTTGGGCGCTCTGCGAATCCAGCTGGCAGCCATAGGGGTCTTGCTGCACGAGTTTTTCGCGATGCTTTGGGCCAGCAAAACTCTAGTGCTGTGGCAGCATGGAAACGTCGCTGCATGTGTCCCGCCTTGGATCGGCATGCTGCTGTTGCCCGTATTGCCCGTCATGCTGAAGTCGCGGCTGCGCCGTCACGGCGTCTTTTCGCCGAATGGCATCCCTGGCTGAACTTTTGCCCAGCTGTCCATAGCTCACGGATGTCCACTTCCATTGTTCGCGAATGGACGCTGGCCCGTTGCGGTCATCACCCATTCCTTGATGGACGTTCTGCCCGTCACAGGTCTCAAGCTCGGCCATGCGTATGTGGTGCTGCGGCGTGGAGTCTTATTCACGCGCTGCGCTCTTGCCCCCTTTTTGTACCGTGGCGACGGGCATGGACGCACCGCTCCCACGTGTCTGTTGAGCAGCTGCCTGACGACGCGTTTTTGCGTCTGCTCTTCTCTCCGCAACATCCGTGCAACACTGTAGGCCTTATGTCAGCCCACATGCACTTTGTGGCTGGCGTGTGTCAAGCCCAGCGTTCTCTGCTGGAAGGCTTGAATCTATGATGTGAAGTGGCTTACCTTCTTTTCTTTCTGCCACACTTTTTCCACCTGTCGGAGCGCGGTCCCAGTGCAAGCTACGCTCAGCCACGCGCCGGGAGTCGGCCCGGGGCGGCGGCTTCAAGCCAACGACCCTCTTCGAGCACCTCATGCAAATCCGGGGCTCCGGCAGCAGAGGCGACGGACTCGAGGGGAAGCTCAAGGAGGGAGGCGGCAAACGCCCGCTGCGCTGCAACGGCGATGAGGCCACTCCAGCGGGCGACGTACGCGGCGGATCGCGGCGGCTGCGGAGGAGCGCACGGCGGCATGGACGCTGGCAGAGCGCGCACGTGCAAGGAGCCGCAGGAAAGTGACGGCTTCGGTCCCCCATCGGCCCCCGACCTCGAGGCCGAACACTACCAAGCGGCAACGTCCGCCTCTTGAACGGACGCATTCCCCACCCCCTAGAAGAAGCGGCCGGCGAAAGATGTGAGGCCATGCTGAGGACAACAAGGAGAAAGCAGTGCCCATGCATGCACATCCGTGTGGCCCAGAGGAACTGCAAGCTACCCCCCGCGGCGCGAAACCCTGAGCATCCTCGTGACCACGATTGACACGAACCTTGTTCGGGCCCAAAGGCTCAAGGTAATCAAAAATCTCGTGGGCTCCCAGGATGAGCATATCTGGGACGTGACATGGCTCTGCGGGGACATGGTGGAGTACCTCCGGAGTGAAAGAGAGAGCGGGACGACTGGCGTTTGGGGGCGGCGGTCCGGGTCCAGGAGTTCAGCGAGCGTAGCATCGTTGCCTGCGGCAAGCGGCTCAGCCGTGAGTGCCCGACTCGCTGCAGAGAGCTCTTCAAGGTGGACTGGCGCAGCTCGGCGCTCGAGGTCAACCCCGTCAGCGTGAGCGTGCGGAACAGGCCGCGTGAAAGTGGAGGAGCATGCAGCTCGTAGGAGTGAGGGCCATTCGCCCCTGTGGAATGCATCGGCGCGCCGCTCCAGCTCAGCGCGCTCGATACGCGATTGGCCCGGCTCGCGGTGCAGGAGCAAGAGCAACCGCAGCCACACGCACTGCAGATCTTGCACGTCCGGCAGCCGGGCGAACAACGCCGCATGTTTGGCGCGCGCCTTTCCCAGCGTGGCGGCGATGACAGGCTGCTGTCCCCTCGCCAACACGAGACGCCATCCTCTCCGGGCGGCATCGCCGCGACCAGTCCCGACGGCTTCTCCCCCGTAGCATTCCAGGGCCGGGTTTTGCCGAGGCGGCTTTGCACGTTGGCGTGCCTCGGCAGACTCGTTTGGGCGGCGCGCAGCATCCAAAAACGCGAACGGGCCTTCCCCGGGTTGGAGCCCTGCTTGCAAGCGCTCGAGCGCTTGGTGCTGCCCAAGTGCACCCGGCATCAATGGATCCCCCTGCTCCCCGCCCTCCCCTTGCAGCACTTCGTGCCGCGCCCCTCGGCATCGTAGAAAAGGTAGCGGCTACTGCGGGCAGGGGCTTGAGACGAAGGTGGAGATCTCGAGTTGGCACAACCAGTCTTGTTTTTTCTCCTCACGCTCCGTTGTCCAGCACCAGCGCAGTCTGTGCTCCATAGGCGGCACCGGGAGGGAAGAGCCCTGGGCGGCGGCCCTATCACAGCATGCGGCTGGCGAGGGGAAAAGGGGCCCGGCAATCTGCCAAGACACACGAGCACTCCATGAATCAGAAATCCAAACCACTCTTTTTTTGGAAGCTTTCAGCAGGCGGCGTTGATTTCGTCCCTGCTCGCACCCGCCCTCAGAGTGTGTGCAGAGCGAGAGGCCCCACTTTGTGTCGGGCGGTGAGGGTGGGTGTTTCCCAAGTATAAGATGCCAATAAGGCCCGTGGATCGGCTCAAGGCATTGCGCCCACATGCGCCCACTTACTGGGACAGGGCACAGGCCTGCTTAAACTGCTCCGGGCCGCTGCCTGTTGGAGGAGTTCACTGGTCTGCTCATCGTCCAGCAGGACACGGAGATGCTCGTTGGTGCACCCTGAAGGCCCTGCCACGGCGCCCCGTCGGGCACGAGGTAGGTTGTCGAGCCGGCTGAACACTGGGCCGCTGTACGTCGGCATCCAGCGGGACTTGTGCTACCTGTGGGCGCCGGCGCGGGTCCCGGAGAGCGTACAATGTCGCCTGCGTGGCGGGGGCGAGAGGGGGCGCGGTGGGCGCCTTCGCCGCCGCCGAGAGCTCGCCGAGGTGAGCGAGGGCGGTAGCTCGCTCAGCTCTTCGTTGCCGGTCGGTCAGCTTCGGAGTCCTCCGGAGCGGTGGATGTGCTACGCCGCTGCCCATCCCCTTGATGTGGACGGCATCCGCGCTTTCACGCAGGAGTTGCACCCATTGACCAGTGCAAAACATGTGTTCCCTGCGTCGAAGCTCGGACGGCGGGAGGCGCGTCTGGCCGGGCGCTCGGAAGAGAAAAAAAGAAAAGCATGCGTGGCGCAAGGAGAAAGAGCGTCCATCCGTCACGCGCTCCCACTCCCGCGCCACCATCGCGGACTGCCTCGAGCGCCACCCGCATCACGTTTCGGAGGATGCCACGACACTGGCGTGGCGGCGACTGAAGCATGAATACGCGTTTTTCCACTTCCGATGCAAGGTCAACATCGCGCAGGCACGGCAGCTTGATTACCCCCTCTTCCGTCTCCTCCGCCGCCTGAGTGTCACAGTCGCGCAGTGCCGCTGCCGGGTTGCTGGTGATGTGCTGGGCGACCACATTGCGGCGTGCCCCGCTCCGGTATCCCTTCCATGCCACTCCGTGCTCTTGCGTGTCACCACCATCGCTGTGGGATGTCGCCATCAACGTAGCCAGTGTTTGCAAGCGGGAGTGCAAGAAGGCTGGCACAGAAGGCTCGCAGTTGCAAGCTACAAGAGGGAAGACCAGGGGAGTATGTGTGCAGAGGTGGGAGCGGGCTGATCAAGAGCGGGAGTCCGTTGGCGATGACCTCAATGCGACGCTCATCCTGGCACTCAGTGACGATATTGGGGTCGCGCACATGGACATTGGTGGCGAGCAACAGTGATGGCTGCCGTGCGATCCGATAGTACATCATCAATCAAATGCCGCGGGGACCGTTTCGGACCTCAACCATAGGGTGAGCCACACCCGTGTAGTTCAACCTATGTGGTAAGATATTCCGCCAGCTCCACGGGGGCTGGCTTTCGTATTTGAGGATTATGGAGGTGGTGCCCACAGGTGTCTCGAGTCGAAACTTGCAGCTGCTCTGCCCTTGGTTTGCACAAGTCTGCCAAACTGCCCCTGAGGGTGGTCTGTTTCCATTCTCTGTAGAACTGGCGCGTTTCAGGAGCACCATTTGTAAAATTTCAAGGCGACGCGTGCCGCCTCGTGCTACTTTGCGCGTACGGCCGGTCGATCCTATTAAGCGCGACACGTCTTCACCTACACGGCGCCTGCTCAGTCCGCAAGATTCTGGATATACGCGAGCGTGGAAACGCGGGATCTGACCAAAGTTGCGGTTGTCATTCTCCGCGTGCACAGCTCAGATCCTCTGCAGCGATCCTGCATATCTAAGAAATTCTAGAAACAACCCAATGTTGAAGAAGCACCACAGCATTCTTTTCGATCGTCCAAAGGCATGGTGTACTTTGACCGACTTTGTTCCAAACCAAAGGTAAAGCTACCTCAGATGTTGCCAAAGGTCGCCGCACGCAATGCCATGAGCCCACATTGATGTTTTGTCACTTTGTAACACATGGACAATGCTTACCACATCCTGGGGTGCAAACGCAAGCGTTCCTCAAACTTGTGGGTTTGCAGCGCCTTGCAGATGCAAGGGAGCCCCCGCCCGCTAGTCGAGAACGACATTACGTACCTCATCATCACAGTGCTGACAACCCACAGTAACTGCCTCACACTCAAAGGACACCTGTTGTCCAACATGCACATCTTGGAATGCCAGGCGCTGCTCCAACTGCGACCTCAGCGAGAATGTAAACTTGAGGTTTCCGGACTTCTGTTTCTCGGTAGGCGTCTATGTCTCCGACACTGACAAGGTTGTTTCACAAGCTGCTCTCGCAAGCTGCGCCTGGCAGGCAAACGCAGGAGCACGCAAGATCATGCAATTGTAAATGCGAGAGCCATCCCCTTGCGACTGACGACTGCGGGGACTCAGGACCCCATCAGCCTCGCAGCATGCAAAAAGGGAAGCCCGTCGATCTGCACTATGCACGCCCCACCCAAGTACGAATGTGCTGAGAATTGAGCTACGACGAGACTACTGCACGAGGACCAGAATTCATACTTCCAGCCAACTTTTGTGGATTACACATCTTGCCGGCCTCCAGTCTCCGCACCTCATCTTCAAGGTTCATCACCTGCGCGACACACTTGCCCCTCTACAACACGAGAAGTCATCTCGTGGATGGGTGCGAATGTGCACGAGCTGCGTGGATGAGTGCTCTTCAATCTGAGCTCAAGGGCTCTCGCTCGCCCTCTCTCTCTCTCAAGACAAGTGCATGACAAACTTTGCCTTCTCCTTTTGGCACAGCCGCCGCCAAGCCTGAGGTCGCACGAATCGAAGGCTGCAGACAGTGTCTGTATATTCGAATACATAGAAGTATATGGTAGCCTCATTGATCCTCCGTTTCTCGTTGTGTTTGGCTTTTCGTTTCGAAGAGGCCGATTACGGAGTACGTCATCAAGGGCGCAGGGTTTCCGGGAAATTGCAAAAAAATACAAATAATGAAAACAAGGAAAAATAGGATTACAAGAACAAATAAGGTTGCATTGTATTGAAACCGAAGCTTTAGGATTGGAGATCTTGAAGATACCGAGGAAAAGTTTGTCTGGATTCTTCGACTGGAGTAAACATGTTCAAATTTGATTTTGCATTTTGCGGAATCTTCAATTTCAGATGTTTGTTGAACATCGTTCCGTCCATGTTGGAAAAAGTTGGCTTGTTGTTGAGCGGAAAGCCTGTTCGAGACATGCGCCCAAAAAATGAGCCAAGTCGAAAGGGAATACCGCAAGTCCAGGAAGCATCACTCTTTTCGTGTGGAATTGAAAGAATGTTGCTGAGATCCCCCTTTTCAGTTGGGGACCATTCACCAAGCATATTTTCATTGCATTGAAGCCGATGCCGGTAGATCAATGCAGTGGCACACATACATACATACATACATACATACATACATACATACATACATACATACATACATAGATACATACATACATACCCTGATGCTCCTTTATGCTCTAAAGAGTGAATACACCTTATATATATATATATATATGCAAAGTCTTTAAATGTATCCCCTAAATAAAGAATACATCCTTATTTAAGGCATCCATCCCTTAATTACTGCATATAGGTGCCTTAAACGGGAAAAATTTAAGGTAAGTTACCTTAATTAAAGGGTATACATGCCTTACATTGCATGCTTTATTTAAGGAATATATACAGGACATCGATGCATCCTGATAGGTATACATACATGGACGATCTGCATCCTGAAAAAGCTATAGCACATGCAGAGGCACGCCACACCAAACTTTTTCCCGGCTGCACAGCTCACATAATGCAAGGCAGCTGGTGCTTTGCTCGAAATTTATCGAGCACTTGCTGGGACGAAGAAGGGGCAGTGTTCCAACCTCCTTTCATCCGAACTGCATTGGCTGCTGCACCACCATAGTCTTCATCCCGATAGCACCAGATGGTGCTAGGGTTGGCGTGGCTTTCAATGAGATGCATAAACAAATGCATCTTCGGCTTTGTTCGCCAAGTCACCCCGTCGTCAAAGTAGGCTTCAAGGGCAACTGCCTGACTGGCAAACAGACGGCCTGCCAACATGAGGTCATCCCTGCTGTAGGGCTCGGTCAAAGCTTCGTAGCAGTCGAGCAGGTGTCTCACACATTTCCGCTGTGCCTCATCCTCAGGCTTGGCAGGATCAACCAAGTAGCGATTAGCGATCTCGACCAGGAAGGGAATCAACTTTCTGACCTCTGCTCCTTTCGCCTTTAACTTCGGAGCTGCGCGGCTGTCTTTTCTGATCATTGTTTCGGTGAGGGTGTTCAGTTGGTCTGGAGAGTGAGATTCGCCATAGAACCCCTTCATCTCCAGAAAAAGTGCTTTCAATCTCTCTGCCACATTGCTTCCAGGTAAGCGAAGTTGCACCTGCCATAGGATCTGCCCTGCTGTGTCAGCAGCGACCCCCAGATCAACTACATGCAACCAGTCTAATCGTATGACATTTCCAGGCTTGAAGCATGGTATGCCGAAAACTGGCGATACAAGGCGACCCTGCATCAAGAATCTTGTCATAAAGGACCAGTCGTCGTAGTGGCGCTGTGTCCAGGAAGCACTTAAGCCTACTTCTCGCATGGTTGCAGGGGTGCAGGGGCATCTAAAGCAGATGCCGTTCACTTCATTGTGTTGTGGCAAAGCGAAGAGCTCCTTCAGCATCTTCCGATCACCTCGGATCTGTGTCAGAACCGCCCTGGGCAGATCGTCGCCAGCTTTCTTGCGAGATCCTCGTGTCGCTTGGAGGGCCACCTGCCCAGAGCAAGGGCTTCAAACGACCATCTGACGACGTTCATGGCATCGTCCATGGTCAGCTGCTTGATCTGAAAATGCTTCTTGCAGCAAAATATTGGAATCCTCAGCTTGTGCCACTGACCTGGCAGGCTGGGAAAATTCAACACAAGCAAACCCAGAGATTGGCTCCGATCCCAGTTGCAAGGAACAGCATCTGACCAGAGACCCAAAGGCAGCAAGGAGTTGTGACTGGGCAAACTCATATGCGAAGCTGCATATGCCAGATGCTGCTCATCATCCGGCTGGAGATTCTCCTTGCTCATGAAAATGCCAGGATCGCCATGAAGCATAAGCTTGAAAAGGAGTTCATGAGGGAGAAGAAACGGAAGCTCTTGTTTTACCATTTGTTGCCGCTTGTCGGACCAAAGCCTGATGGGAGCCCAGTAAAGTCTCGGCCACTCTGTGTTCTTGAGTAATTTTCGCTTCAAACTTCGATTATGGTTCTGCTGGTGCTTTGGCAGGTGGCCCAGATCATCGATGTGACGAGAGCCTGAAGCTTTAGCATCACTAAATAAGGAGGCTGCTCTCTGGCCTGTGAGCTCTCCTGAAAGGAATGCATCAGCGAGATTGGCCCGGAATCTCTTGCTGTCGGCCAGCTTCTCTTCTGAATACCCTCTGGCATTCTTGGAGAGCATGGCAGGCCAAAATGTGTAAAGGCACTTAAAAATGTTTACATGACTGTTGTTTGTTGAGTTATATCTTTTACACAATCATTTTCCCAACATATACGATGTGCATGTACCTTATAGTTTGCTGTCACTGCACCTGTGTTTCGAGCCGAAACTGACCACACATATGTCACATGCCATCTCCACCAAAGCTTTGCTCACGATCTGCAACACATATATATATATATATATAGTCACGATCAGTGTGCCGATCTTTTCAGCTGCAGCAGAACCCATCGGTGTATACGAGCCTTAAATGGATCATGCTATCTCCTGCAAAGCAAAACCAGAGAAGCTACATATGCTCGGCAGCTATCAGCTTAGCTGAGCCATCCCCGAGCTCGCTTCAGGAAGGCCGTCGTGCCATCCAGGTGCACTTGGGCGGAATCCACCCAGCCCTTGAGACCTGTGATCTCCTTGTCACATTCGGCTTCAGATATCTCACTGCTGCCAACCCTCTTCTCCAGCACGACCGTGTGCCGGCGAAAGTTCTTGAGGAACTTTTCGGCTTCATCCAAGGCTTTCTTAAGCTCCGAGCTCTGGCTGGTCTTCGCTAGGTTGCTGCACTCCTGCACTTCCACCTAGACATTCTGGAGCTCAGAGTTCTTGGTCTCCAGGCGCTTGAAGAGGGCCTGGCCAGCCCTGATCTGGTTCTTGAGTTCCTGCTTCTTGGGGAACTCCACTTTGATCTGAGCTTCGTCGCCCTTGAGAGTCGCAAGCTGCTTTCCAGTCAGCTGGGAGGAGATCTCGAGGCTTTGGGACTCAGAATGGTCCCGGGCATTCTTAAGCTCAGGCATGGGGGCCATCTTGCTTCTCCCTCTTGTGACCATACATCTTCTCACTTTCCAGCAAGAGGTGGTCGAGGATCTTCTGGGCCTTGTCCTTGGAGTAGTCCGAAATCTTGTAGCCGTTCAACTGGACTCATGCACATGCCGTTTGAAAAGTAAAATACACTTTCGCTTGCATGGTACGAAAAATTAAGTAGGGAACGACATCATGGACAACATGCTGCCAAGCTGCATAGTGTACATGCCAGCTTGGCTCTGGTCCGTCTCTTTCTCTTCGATCTTGTTGGTGTGGGTGAAGTTCACCAACCAGGACAGATTCTTGAGGCCCTTCTCCGTGAACTTGGTGATGAAATCCGGCCTCTGATCATCTGTGATTTGGCTGTAAGCCTCGGCTGGATATATAGATCCTCTTTTTATATTTGCAACACGACTGAAACGGAAGCAACGCTAGAAATATATCCCAGGCAGCAGCGAGCACTTTCTGTGCATCTTCCATGCCGTCCTTCTTCTTGTTCTTCATGGGATCAGCTTTGTACTTCAAAGAGGTAAGCATCCTGCTTATGCTCTTTCGCATAGCCTGGGGATCATCGCTAACGAGCTCTGCTGCAGGCCTGCCTCGTTTCTTGCTGGCCGGCACCAGCTGCAGGTCCTTGTCGTTGTTTTTGGGTGGCATGATCAGCAGCTGCCTAGCTGCCACAAACAAAATCAAAAGCTCGAGTAAAAGACTCCTTGAGCAAAAATTTTTCTGGCCTGAACATGTTGTGCACTTTGCTACATGCATGGCACACGTACATGCGCAACGACATGCACCATGCACAGGCTTGCGCACCCCCCCCCCCCCTTTGCCCCCTCCCGGAAACCCAAAGGAAAAACCCAGCAACTATAACACATGCATATATGCATATGCAACCGGAACCCCCGTTAAGTTTTGAAAGGCCCGAATCTAAGTTGTAATCACAAACCTATAAACCCTTAAAAAACACCATTGGCCCATCCTTTTTAAACCCTTACATGTATATATCGACAAACCCTGTCAACTATATATGTATATAATTTAGTGGACACCCTGAATATATTACTGTGAATTATATATTCAACCAAAGCGCCTAAACCCGAGCCTAGTTTAACTCTTATCTAGGGTCTAGGGTTTAATTGGTTGTATATATATATATATATAGCTATTGTAAGCCCCCAACCCCAGCAGGTGGCAAGGCCCTTTGCCATTCGATCGAAAGGTCAATCGGATCCATGCTGCAGTGGTCCTCGCGAGCAGGGGGCGGTTTGGGGTGCTTTTGCATGTTCAGGAGACGGGTGTCTCCTGAGAAGTTAACTGTTACAAAACGTTTTACAGGGGATGCACATCTCCTGACAGCAAGCATTAAGAATTTAAATCAGGAGACTCGATGTCTCCTGAAATTTAAAATATATATATATATAAACAAATAGACCCCACCTCGCTGTTGGTTATCCGCCCGCCCCCCCCTCGCCTTCCCACAGGGGCGCTGCAAAAGCAGACCAGCCCAACGCCGAAAGCCCCAAACCTAAAACCGGACCTGTCCGGGCCGCCTCTAGACCACTCATCGTGGCTAATCACAAACCACGCAAACCCTGGACCGCTGCCTCCCCACAAAAACCGCCCCCTTCCCGAAGCTTACAGCCCACCCCCTTCATTCCGTGGCGTTAGACGTGAAAGCGCCACTTCTGCACCCCAACCCCAAAACCCTCAAGCCGAAGCCCGACATCCTAAAGCTTAAGCCGGACCCCAAAAAACACCCGTGGCCGCGTCAGCCTGCCCCCTCTGTCCGGGCCGTCCCCTCTAGACTCCGCATCGTGGGAGAGCGACGTGGAACCCTGGACCCAAGAACTCTGAGCCTCCTGAAAATAAAAACAACGCTTAAACCTAAAACCGTTTTCCTCTAAACCCTAAACCTGAAAACGCATAAGCCTCAGCCCTGAGCCCTAAACCCGAAAACCCGAAACCATACAAAGGCTTTGGGTTTCGGGATTCATCTGCTGTATCTCAGACATAGTCTGCACCAGGGCAAAATCTGCAAAGACAACATCTCTTATGCCCCCAAATCTCTTGCTGTGACGCTTCAACGAGAAAACGCCCACGCTGTCTTGCGCCGAGCCGGGGCACCTGCTGAGGCCTCGGCAGGGCTAGCTGACCCGTCGTTTTAACCCAAGAAGCCCCAAAAAACAGATCCAGAAAGGAATCGAACAAGATACCCCAAACCCCCAAAACCCTAAAACCTCTGAAACGCCCAAGAAGCCTCCCTGAACCCTAAACCCTAGCCTATAAACTCCTTCAAAAAAGCAAACTTCCGAACCCTAAAACAACCACGCACCAACCCTAGAAACCCTAAACCCTAAGTTAGGGCGTTTACGTTGTCGGGCGACTACAGGTTAAAGGTTTGGGGTCTTGGGCCTGGGCCTTTGGATCTAAGGCTTTGGGACTACGGTTGAGGCTTTGTTCTCGCGCCGTTTTGGTGCAAGGGGTTTAGAGTTCAGAGTTCGGGTCTTTGGCTTTAGGGTGGTTTAGGGTTCGGGGTTCTAGGCTTTCTGGACGTTTGTGATCTTAGGGCTCGGCGACCCCTTTGACCCTGGTGTCCGCCTAAGCCCTCAACCCTAAGACCCTCAGCCCTAACCTCCTAAAACCCGAAAACTTTATAAAACAAAAATAATCCTGCAGATGAACCGTAGGTCCTACCCTAAGAAAACCCACCTGAATAACGACCCCCCGTTGAGAGGGCCGTGGAGAGCGACGTGGAACCCTGGACCCAAGTGCTTAGGCCTAGGGTCATGAGGTTGACGGTCCCAGGGTGTAAGGTTTATAGGGTTTGGGCCTTGAAGCCCTTAACTCCCTTGACTCCCTAAACCCTTAAGGTCAAGGAAGGGCGACCGAAGTGGTGGTTGCTGAGTATCCTGCAGAGCAGCGGAAAACTGGAGGGAACAACTCTGCAGATGACTTGGTTTCGCGTGGTATCGCCAAGGGAAGGGCTCGTCGCGGAGCAGTGCTCACGAAGAACCTACGTACAAAGTTCCATCGGGACAAGAGAACAACCGCCGCTGCAGCTACATCACAGGGCTCGGTGATTTCAAGGGTCCCTTAGGACCTCAGGACCTTGCAAGCCCCAATCTTGCGACCTCACAGCCGAAGCATGGGTGTCTTTCTTGAAATTAAGGGTTAAGGAATTCCATAATGAGAATTGGGGCCTATGGTGTTTCGGGCTTAGGGTCATGAGGTTGACGGTGCCAAGGTTGAGGGGTTTGTAGGGTTTGGGCCTCATAAAGCCTACCCCTAGACCCCTGACCCTAAACCCTAACGCCTTAAGCCTTCGACCCGAAACCCGGCTTTATGTGGGGTTTAGGGTTTCTGTGGGTGGGGTTTAAGGCTTAAGGCCACCATAGGCCACCCTAGAGGGGTTTCGGGACTTAGGAAACCCTAAACCTATTTGGGTTTTGTCTTGTTTAGGGTTGAAGGCTTGAGGTCTTTGGGTTTTGGGTCTAGGGGCGGGGTTTGGGGTCTTGGGCTTTGGGTTTCAAGGGTCTAGAGTTTACCGTTACCCCACATACTAGGTTTAGGGTTTCCTAAGCCCTCAACCCTAAATGGCCTTGGGTTTTTGTTTTTGGTCTTCGGGGTTTCTGGTTTAGGGTTTTGGAGTGTTAGGGTAAACCGTCAACCCTGAAACCCTAAACCCGCAACCCTTTAGCCTAAACCCCAAATGAGGTTTAGGGTTTAATGGGGTTTTGGGTTTCAGTGGGCGGGGTTTGGGGCTTAGGGCCACCCTAAAGGGGTCCAGGACTTAGACAACCCTAAACCTATTTGGGTTTCTGGTTTAGGGTTTGGGGGTTAGGGTAACCCTTTGGCCTAAACCCTATATTAAAATTTGGTTTACGGTTTCTGGTTTCGGGTTTGGGGGTTCGGGCAGCCCTAGAGCCTAATGCCTAAACCCTGAGCCCCGAGACCCTAAACCCTCAAACCAGGTTGCAGGCTTGAGGTGTTTGGGTTTGGGGTTTAGGGTCTAGGGATAGGGTTTAGGGTTTGATTGCAGGGTTTCCTAAGACCCTTTAGGGTGGCCCTAAGCCCTAAACCCCACCCAGTAAACCCAAAACCCCACTTGAGCCCTAAACCTCATTTGGGATTTAGGCTAAAGGGTTTAGGGTTTAGGTTTGCCC